TATTCTGTGAGTATAAAAACTCATAGTACTTTTAATTACAATAGGTAGGTACTAACCTAAGCCAACAATACGTACTGATTCAATCTTTCACACTCTACATGTCTATGTCACTGTCGACAGTTAATTAAAAAAATTAAAAAAACATCCTAAAATTAAATTTTCAGCACCTTAATACATGTACAACGTCCATTAACATTAAGCTGTATTTTCACCGCTCCCACTTTTGCGCTTATAAAAGTCGCGACGGGAATTTATTGGTCGTACGTGACCGGACTGTCTCCGACAAGCATGCCTGTTAAATAGTTTTAGTGCTAACTGGATAATAAAACAATATTTTTCCCACTTAGAGTTTCATCAGCCAGTTAAAACGTCAAAAAGATTTATTGCTGTGCACGTGGGTTGTTAATGAAACGGTTTATTGCAATTTAATGATGGATAACATTGCAACATTGTATTTAGTTAAATAGAAAAGGTTTTGACATCTTTACGTTGTGCTATAAATAAGATAGATACAGATATTATGCAAATAATGGCTGGCTTTTATTTCAATCTAAAATAAATGCCTTGAAATTTTTTTTCAACTGTATTATCAATTACCTAAACTTTTAACTTTGCACCACTTATACGAGTAGATACCGGATAAGTAGTCGTAATGGGTAATTATCATACATGTAAATAGAAAATGACATACCTGTCTATACTTATAAACTGTGTAACCCTATTAAAAACAAAATGGAATAGAATACATTTTATTTGACACAGGACAAAAACGACATCTTTATCTTGTATTATTTGCCGTCTCTACTTTTAACGTGAATCAAACCTCTACCTTTCACCCTAATGATGGGCGTTCCGGTAAAAATTAAACAAAATTTTCCACTTTATACTTCAAATTAAATTTTAATAAACGCCGCGTGACGTTTTTTGCTTCACTACACGCCCGACCCGTCATCAGCTAACCGTGTTTATTAAATAGCTTCCAGCAATTAACATCTGGTGCACGTAGCCCCCCCTCCCACCCCATTATTACCCAGCTAAATAGTTATTTAAATTCAGCAAAGGCTGATCTTAATGACTATAGTTAGGATTGGGAGCGAGTGATTTTGAATTTTCTTCAAGATTCTCTTTTAGGACTCGAGTTTCCTCTTTAATGTTTCACTTTAGTTCAGGGTATTAGGGATACGTGAGTTTAATCTTGTTGGTTCAAGCTCTTTTGTATTGGATTGGGACTGAATCAGTTTGAGAGTTCTCGGGATTTTTCCGACGTGAATTTTAAGGGATTATTGTTCAGATATACCTTAAGATGGACTATCTTGTATAGTTATAATGTAATAATATTATGTAATGCTAATTCATAACTAAAGTCGCAAAAATATATACTTACCTACTTGAAAAAAGAAGAAAACATACAGTACCTACTTAATATTATGTTAACATTAATTGGTTATCGATTGATACTTTAATTTGACTTCTGAAAAAACATAATTTATTTGCGCTCTCATATATCAAAGGCCCATCAATCAAACGTTAATCACTTTGAAGTATCACAAGGTAAATTATAAACCAAAAAAATACGCAATGAAACGATTTATTTTATTGGTATTGCCGATATAATTGGCCTTATCAATTTTCCCTTAGAGGTGCTTCTGCGCTGAGAACCCTTGGTCTGTAATGAAACGGTAAAAATTCAAGCATTATACAATGTTTAAAACAGTGAGTAAGTGTATCTTCTTCCTGTACGCATACAGGTTGTTCGCATTTCATTATTTCATACAATTTCCTGCTACTTTTACGATATCGTCGGTCCACCGTGTGGGTGGACGTCCCACGCTGCGTTTTCCGCGGCCTCCACTCTATAACCTTGCTGCCCCATGAGCCGTCAGTTCTGCGTACTATGTGCCCTGCCCATTTCCACTTCAGTTTGCTAATCCGTCGGGCTATTTCAGCGACTTTAGTTCGTTTACGGACGCAGGCCGCTACCAACCGGGCAACATGGAAAGCATTGGGGGAGGCCTATATTCAGTAGTGGACGTCCTATTGCTGAGATGATGATGATGATGATACATATTTTTTCTTAAGCGGACTAAGCAACGCACGCGGATCGTGTATCGGCTGCGGGCACACAATACGAAATCTTTGTTCTGCTTGCCATCCGCATGCGTGCCGAAATCCGCATTACAGGAAAAAGGCATTAAGACAGTGGCGGATTTACCAATAGGCCAAGTAGGCCAGTGCCTAGGGCGGCAGATTTAGAGGGGCGGCAAATTTAGCAAATTTTTTTACAGGAAAAAAAATAAATAATTATACGTATACTTACACAATCCATATATAAATAAACGACTAATAAACGCACTGTAATATATACGAGGGCGGCACTGAAAATTTCGGGAATCAAGGAAGTGAAACAACANTAAAATGGTTGTGGGAGATGGGGCACTGTGAATTAAGCAAAAGAGTTTTAGTAAATCCGTTTCATTAATGGTCAACAACAAGGATTGACCTATCTTTCGCAGTTATTAAATAATCTCTGGGTGTTGCTTAAGATAGTAATTCATGCTTCCAAAATCTTAGAAATTCGCACGAAAATGTAAAATGGCTCTTAATATTAAAAGTTAAAATTTTGGAAGCAGTGTATTAAAAATCGGGGAAATATTCGGAGTCTTGAACTAGGCAGTAAGTAGGTAGGTACAACAGTTTTTTATTTTTGCAGGACGAGCATGGACAGTCGATGCTGCACTTCGCAGCTGCAAGAACGCATACCAGGAACGCCTTATTCCAACTTCTCCAAGAATCGGACGTCAGTTTGGGCTACAGGGACGAGTTGTACCGAACAGCAAGAGACGTGTCTATTCAGGCTAATGTGCCAGAAAACACGGCTGAGATAGATAGGTGGGTCGTCCACTTGGCCGCCAGGGGTAAGTCGAGAGCTTGTGACAACCCTTACTAAATTTAAGTCCTAACTAGATTTCATAAAAACTAATGGGCAAGTGCAGGCACCGTCGATTTCAGAGTGGGGGGATGCTCCCTCAAATATATCTTTCGACTGAAAATAATCATCGTTTTCTTCGCATAAATAAATAATAAGTGTTTCTTGAGAAATACAAATCGATAACATAGTACATATTCAACTTCAGGCGTTTCAGTAATTTTTCATAGACACCTGACGGTCTCTCAGCCAGTACAAAGAAAAAGTACCTATTAAACATTCAGACCCTACTCTATTTTATAACTACTTTTTTTCAGGGAACAAAGAGAAAATAATGGAGCTTTTATTGGAAGGATACGACCACATTTTGGATGTAGTGGACGAGGAAGGGATGCCAATAATGGAAGTAATCACTCAACGGCGTGACACTGAAATGGGAAGTCTGCTTGCTTCGATACCTACCTTCGAGGTAAATGTTTTTATACTTACATAAAACAAAGTGGTGTTAGCTCAACGTCATCATCATCTCAGCCGTAGTTAGTTACACCATTTATAACTCAAGAACGGCTTGATAGATTTTGATAAAATTTGGTATACTACTTTTTACCCAACAACTGCTCAAAAAATAAGGGTGATGTTTTTATTGTATCTAATAAACTGCGGGTAGCCCACGACGCAGTACCATCTCAATGGCAACAATCATTGTCTATTAGGCGATACGAATTTCGCCGAACCATTTGCTGCCTCAGTGGTCAATGCCTTCACCTGCCTTGTACAATATTATTTTATTCGCCGTTGTTTATTATCTCAAGGAATCACGGGAGTCCCTTCACGGAGCGATCAGACGAGGCGACCTGTCGGCTGTCGAGGAACTGCTCTCGGCTGAGGGTGGCAGGACCCTCGCTAGGGGACAGAACACCTTCGGCAGAACAGCAATGCACATAGCCGTGCTGGCGCAGCACGAGGATATCGTGGCTTACTTGGCGCAATCCTTCCCAGAATTGCTGAGGATAGGGGACAATGTGAGTCTTTGCTTTAATACTAATGAAGAGTCTTATATAGTTTTAGGGAAATAAGCCATAAAGCCAGGGAAATAAGCAATATTAGATACGAGTTTTTTATTAGTTTTGATATCCACTTTATCTTTAAAAGCAACCATTTACACGCCGGTAACGTGATGGTGAAGTTCGGTAATCAGTACCAAATCAGTTACAAAGCACACTGGTAATGCGTGGTAGGGCGTGGCTCGAGGGTGTCATTAATGCTGTTTGGGCGTGATTGATAATGGCGTGGGTGTAAGCGATTATAATTATAGGCCCAAAAATACATCGAAAATTACTTAGAATTTCCAAATTAGAATACAGTGGATCCTATATTCAGAAAAGTTAAAACGCCGCAACTAAATACTGAAAAACTTTGTTATCAATAGTCATAATTTCAGGTCACCTTATAAAAATTATTTATGAATGGAATTGGGTTCAATTAGGTTACGAAACGTGACGAAACTCAACCAACATTTTCTTAATTCCAGTTGGAACGCACACCACTACATTACGCGATGGGAGTAGAGAAGATAGAGTCACTGAGCAGAGTACTAATACGGGCAGGGGCCAAGCGTGTCCTGAAAGACCTGAAGGGGCGTCAGCCCACGTACTACTTTATGAACAAATCCGACATACTACGGCTCAAGGAAGAGGAGGAAGCTTACTGAAAGAAATGATAAGATCGACATCTCTATGCAGCCATAGTGTAACAATTCAGCACCCTTAGAAAACAAAAAAAAATCAGAAATTTTGCTCTGGATGAATGGATAGCGATGAATGACTAGAAAACGCTTTTTACGCACTTATTGCAATATAATTTTATTTTGGTGTAAAATTGAAACTTTAGATCTCGTGTGCCGAATGTTTAAACGTAGTATTTGTGAATTTTCTAACGTATTATTCGACTTTATACTTGACGGGACCCTGTTAAAGAAAATTTATTCTAGATTTAGAAATAAAAAATCAGTTAAAGTTAAAACAGTCTGTTTTATTTTGTCTAAACACGTTCATATCCTAATAACAACCGTGATAATAATAAATTGAACTACAACAAAACGTTAATCTAAAAATGAAAATTTAATCTAAAATACACGTAACTGCCGAGAAATAACAGCGATATCATACAACATGGTAGGAATTTAAACATAAAAAATATACGTAGGTATTACCGAAATTGAAAAATTATGGATTTGTATAAGTTTGTCCCCATAGACGTTGGAGAATCTTCTAAAACGTCAAGTGGGAGACTGCCATGGGATTGGGTTTATGTACATCTGTGACACCGATCCCCGCATACCTGGTACCAACGAAATAAAAGGCATCAGAAAAAAATCGGATGTATAAGTACATCAACGTAAATAAAACTTAGCATTAAAGATTATATCGCGTTGCCTATAAAATATCTGCATTGAACATAATTATCAGACACGACAAGCGTCATGCAATGCAATTAAAATATTTTAAACCTCAGTTAGTGCTACGATTTATCACAGATTTATTTCCATGATATCCGAAGCTATAATTAGATCCTATCTAATGGGTTTTATGAAAAGTAACGCTTCATTGTTAGTCCTGTATAGGGTTGCCAGGCGTCCGGCTTTAGCCGGACATGTTTGGCTTTTTAGGGACTTGTCCGGCCAAATATTGCCTTGTCCGGCCTGTCCGGCTTTTGTTAGGCTTTTTATTTGGTTGCCGCGCCAGGCGAAAGTCGAGCCACAGAGTCATATGAAGCGCACGCATCAGGATGTTGGTTAGCAACCGATGCTGAAAGTACTCACTAGCTGACACTTATTGCACACATCATGTCCGGCTTTTAGGGTAAAATGTCCGGCCAAATCAAGCACAAAGTCCGGCTTTTGTGATTTTGGACCTGGCAACCCTAGTCCTGTATGGAATTTGTACTTTATTCTATGGGTTAGGTCCAAAAGTAGAACAGTCACGATAGCCGAACGGTGAAGGGGTCTACGTGGTCCACTGACCACCACCGTGATCCGAAGAATGCGGCGCGGGTTCGAACCCCGCCGCCGCGCGCCGCTCGGCTAAATATTGTGGTGTGAACCCACTTGTAACACAAGCATAGTATTTACCACGAGGACGCAGCCAGACACGGTACGCGCGCTGGCCCTACGTCCACCACTGCACCGCTCCTCCTCAACTGCTAAAGACTCCTGTCTCTCATACAAAGTTCTCATAAAGAACTTACTGAGCTCGCCCTGGTTGAGGGGCACGGGCAGCGGCTTGTTCTTGCTAGTCCGCAGCCAGTCGCGGTACGCGCGCTCGCCCTTCGACCGACGGCGCTCTTCCTCGATCGCCTGTCGCGCCGCTCGGCGCTCTTCGCGGGTCTTCATCGCTATGGATAAACAAATATTTCATTAATACAATCCAAAGGTTTTCACTGAATGTTAGTAGGAGATTTTGCAAACGAGAAATAACTTGCCCGACGATTAATAGAGACTTAGGTAGGACTAGCGGCCGCCCGCGACTTCGTACGCGTGGATCCCGTTTTACCCCCTTCATCTATCTTACGCGGTTTAGATTTTTTCATACAAATGTCTTTCCCGCTAATTCCCGATCCCGTGGGAATTTCGGGAATTCCTTGTTGTAACTAATCTTTAAGTTTACAAAGGTACCTACATGCCAAATTTCAAGCGTCTGACTTAAGTGGTTTAGACTTTTCATACAAAAGGATTTTCCCGCTAATTCCTGTTCCCGTCGGAATTCCTAAGTATACTATAACCTGCCCAGGAGTATGAAGAATAATTGTACCAAGTTTCGTTAAAATCCGTCGAGTAGTTTTTGTTTCTATAGAGGAACATACAGACGGACAGACAGACAGACAGACAAAAAATTTACTGATTGCATTTTTGACATCAGTATCGATCACTAATCACCCCCTGATAGTTATTTTGCAAATATCTTTCATGTACAGAATTGACCTCTCTACAGATTTATTATAAGTATAGATAATAGGAAGACTAGACCTACTCACATTTTATCTCCTCCTCCTTCTTCCTGATCCAGTCGTTGAGCTTCTCTTCCTTCTCCCTCTCGCGTTTAGCTCGCTCTCGCTCCAGCCGCTCGTTGTCCCGGTACTGGCGCATGATCTCGTCGGCGCGCCGGCGCTCCATCTGCGCGCGCTTGCGCTCCATCCAGCGCCGGAAAGATTCTTCGCGCTGCTGCTGTGACGTCACCGGTGCCGTTTGCTGCTTCATCTTCTCCTGTCGTAGCTTGTCTTTTTTCTGAGCACACAGATTGAGAATAAGATTTAGTGAAATTACACGAGAGATAAATTATTAAATAAATTATGACACTTGAAACTGTCCTACTCACCTCTTGTTCTTTCCGCGCTAACCACTGCTTGAAAGCGTCCTGCTTCTTTTTCTCATTTCGCTCGCGCTCCTCCTTAGCCGTCGTGGTGGTAGAGATCGATGCAACCGATAACCTGAACGTGTCAGCTCCGTCCTCGCGATAAGTACGACTGTAGCGAGGAGTCTCCTCTTCCGCATTATGATCGTTATTAATTTTGATGTTTTCTGTCAAACGGCACGACTTCCTTTTGACGCTACCCGATGAATCGCTATCGCGTCCGCTCAGAAACGGAGTAGAATTGCTCCGGTAGCTACTGTGTGGGTGTGGTGTCACGTCATCGATGCAAGAATCTGTCTGCAGTGACGTCACCGAATGTGTCGCCTCGACTGTCTCAATGTAAATCGCCGGATTGATGTACCTGGTCTTGCTCTTCCTGGAGCCCAAGGACTCTGAATCACTATGATACTGAACATTTTCGCCTGCTCCGTCAAATACATGATTAGAATTTTTAGTCAGCAAATCCCATTCGGGCTTGTTCCGTGCGCTATCTCCAAAGTTTCCCCTGTCGAAGTGGCTCGCCATTTCTTTAAAATATTTCCATAACTAAGTAAAAGCAACCAAACAAATTCTCAGCTATATACGCTACAATATCAATGCTAAAATAAATGTAAAAAATATATGAGTGAAAGCTTAACGGCTGTCAAATTATCTTACTCAAAGAATGTCATGTCAATTTCGTTACGATTTCGAACAATTTTCTTTGCGGCCAGTTAGATTTTATCGTAGCCAAAAACACGCCAAATATGTCTTTCATGACGTCACAGAGGCACGACTCTAGGGGGGCAAACCGGGGCGCCTATCCCGAGCGGCAGTTTATGGCCAAATGGAACGAACCCGGCGCCAAATGGAACCAACCCGGCGCGCTCTGTGAAAATGGGCCACAATAAAATAATTTATGGCCCGAAAATTCGTAGATGACCCTAACGCATGAAGTCGTTTACAATGTCGCTTACAGTATCTCACAAATCGTAAAGATTTCCTGTATGAATTCCACATACACGAATGTAATGTAATAGTACATACTGGATAGCAGTGGTGCTGGAGGCGTATTTTTGTTACAAATTCGTCGTTACAAAAATACGCCTATAGCACCAGCAGCACTATACGAAAAGATTGTAACCTTTTAAAACAAGCATCGATCGCCAATTTAGATGCCTACTTTTCTGAATCTTCAGTAGGTACATAAAAAGACAAAGTTCTCCCTTTAAGTAGAAAGTTTTGAACAGTGAAATAAAAGACATAAATTACACATTCATAAAAATGTATTTTAACGTTATTGACATAGGGTACATATTTAAATAAATGTTGACTAACAGCCAATCAATATCACTTTTAAAGTAGATGGGAATCGTCAACCTCGATCTTTACAGGCACTTTATAACTGAAATTTTCTAGAAATAAANGAAATAAATTAGGTCCATTCATTAATCTTAAAGGGAACTGCATTAAGTATCTAATAAGAATATGCCAATATAGTATGCCCTTAAATTAAGATCTAATTATGAGAAGTTTTGGAATCACTGTCATAGAAAAAAAATGTAGTGTTATAGCAAGTTGACCTAGCACTAGTCGCATTCTGATCAGATAAAAGAAGTTCATTCGTCAACACAAAACAAAGTTAAGACCTGTGGTAACCACAAATTGGCTGACCATGTACAAATTTTAATCCTAACAGTCAGTCTCATGATATCGTTAATATGTTGTCATCCTATCACCTTGCTATAAGCACTACATGACAAAATGTTCCATTCTTATTCACCAGATGAAGTAAAGGCCTACTGGGTAAAGCTTCTTATTTACAAATTTAAAGGCGTAAGGCATTGATAAAATTAAATTTACTTAAATGTTTCTCCATTAGAAAACTGCACTGGCAAATACTGAGACTGAGGTATAGCACTCAGCAGAGCTACCCACGAGAGGGTTACTTACAAATTTTATTGATTTTTATCAAGAAAACATGTCACTGCCTAATAGCCTATAGTAGCCTAATGCCCGTTTTCACCTTCAATCCCTAACTTTTAAGTGATGCCTATAGTAAAACACATAATATGATTTTTTTTTCCATAGGGCTCACTAAAAATTAGGAATTGATGGTAAAAACGGGCATAAATGCCACAAAAAGGAGAGAAGTAAAGCTTGTGCGTCCTTTTTTTATCGACGGTCGCGCTAGGTCAACTCTTGTTTAGGCATGAACTGGAAGTATGAAAAACGATTCACTATTCAAAGCTGAATTTAAAGAAGCAGAATAATTAGAATAAGTAAATTTTTGGTGCCCTATCATTCACAAAAAATGTTACATAGCGCGTGTCGTGTCGTCTGTGAAACAGAACTGCTCCGACCGGTTCCAGTACTTTGTGTCCATGAGCGATGTTTTATGTGTAAGATCAAGTAGGCAATTGTAAATTTTTTATGAAGCTTTACTTCTGTACCGTTTATTTTGTGGCACACCCTTGAGACAAGCTGATAGAGAATACAGGCCAATTAGATTATTTCTTATTGGAGAATAAGAGGTATGTGATAAGTGATGATGTTGAATTGAAACATCAGACAATAACTATAGTCAAGATATTTAGCACCTAAGTACAATTTGAGTTACAAAATCCAATGCAAAAGTCGAAAGTAAAAAAACAGCTAGCTATCTCATTTAGTGAATAAAAATGGAACGCGATAGCATCAATTACTCTTAAGTCCACGAGGAATTATTCTTACAACTGCATGTGACTAAAATACTAATTGCGATAGAGGAGGCCTAGTATAGTGATTCGGCGTTAGACGAACGCGGCTTCTTGATCTTCTCGAGGTTTTTGATGACAATGTCGTGAAGTGAGCAGTAGCGGTTGCGGATCTCGCACATCACCAGCCATAGTGAAAGATACTCTTTTTCGTCCAATTCCTAGAAAAACATTTTAATCTTGTAAAAATTGATGAATTAATATCTTAACATAAGAGTCAATAGTAAGTAAATGTTTAATCTGAATGTCCCTACAGGATAATATAGCCAGACCCCACAATTTGTTATTCAACTGGTTAAAATTCTGGCACTATGCAAAAAAGTATGTAATTACAGATGTAAGATTATTTTATTACATCATTTAGGACTTGATGATTGTGATTTATATTTTGATGGTTTGGATCTTTATTTAAAAAATAAAATACTTACTCTGACTGCTCTCCTGTAATCGTCAATATGTGGGTATTTGGCAACCTTCGACAAAATCTTTGCTCTTGAAATAAAATATCTTGAGATTTGGTCAAAAAATGCAGCCGCCTCTGACTCCACCGACTGAATCTCTGCGAGTGTGTCCTCTTGTATTGATACACCAAAGTTGTTTCCGTCTTCAATTTTGGGAATCATGAAGGAGATCCACATTTTCAGCTGCAAAATTTGAAAAAGCAATAATGTTAGTGAGGGTCAATAAATTCTGGACTTCCCTCTTCAATAGTTGAAAACATGGCAGTCTCCTTTTCATTGTTAAATAGTAGTATTTTGTGGCCCATAGCACCAAAATGGCTTTATAATCCCTATAAAATTGATTGAGCACCATTATAACAAACTATAACCCTAAAATAGTAAACAAATCGTAATGCTGAACACCACACCAATAGCAAAAGGGAACTGGATAGGATTTTAGCAAGATATCTTAGATTGCAAAGTAATGAGATACAAAATCTCCAATGGTATATTTATCCTAATATATTTAGATTTAACAGTTGATCAGTCTATTAGAGAGGACACCACATTTCTTGAAACAAAAATCATGTACTAACTAGATTAGAATCTTCAACAAGTTCTCTGATGTGAGGCTTGACAAGATGTATGAGGTCACTGAGTGGTTTGTTGCACGGAACTGTGCCGTTGGGCAGGGAGTACACCCGTGTGCCTTCTACAGTAGTGTTGCTGGACACTTCGGAGGAGTCCACTCGTGGGCGCTTAGCATTTGGTTCATTAGCTGAAGAAGCAGGAGGCGGAACTGGAATGTTTAAATCCTGAAAACAGAGGTTTGTTTCTCATTCTCATAAATATAAACATTAATATCAAGTATATGAACAACACAATTATGATTATTGTTAAAGTAATCTTTAGTAAGTAGGTACCTGATGCACATCAGCCAAGTCGCGGCTTTGGAAATTTGATTTCTCTAGTAATTCATTCAATTTCACTATTTTTTCTGGAAATCCTTTGATTATTAAATGTTCAGCCTTCTGCTTCAGAGAGTCTTTGTATTCTTGGACCTGAAATAATGCACATGCAACAATTATGGTGAAATAATATCTGAATCATTATCGGAAACCATTATCCCCATGGCCGCTATTGAGGTTATGTTGACCATGGCCAAATTATATTGTTGCCGAGTCAATAATAGGCATGTTTATCCCATAGAACAATCAAAAATTTTATGAAACATGAAACACTAGACTATTAAATACTAATTCATTGTAATACAACAGAAAAATCTAAGGTCAAGCACACTAATCATCATACGTTACATACTACGTCAAACAAAGTAAAAATTGTAAGTAGGTAGAAGAATAATACACACTTTTACCTTTAACGCAACGTCTGTCATTGTTTTAGAGATTAATTACTATACTTTAATTATTATAAACCGAATTAATTGATTTCTGGAGAAATGACAAACGTTTCACATAAATTCGCGACTCCCAACAGTCCCAACAACTCGTGTGCGAATGAGTGAATGAACATCAATGGAACGGTTATGTGAATGAACGAATGTCATTAAAACGAATGAGTCGTAGATTGAGAAAGAAATGTGTAATCGAAAAAAACGCGTTCCTTTATCATTTTCGTAAGTAAAATCTAATTCAAACAAAATAATTTACCTTAACCAACGTCTCCTCTAAACTGGAGTCAGATGCCATTTTAAGAATAATTTATTTCATTAGCCCCGTTTTCCGTCGTATTTTGACAACATAATGTCGTTTTACTTTTTAATTTTTCATTCTTTTTGTACTTTTCCGACGACCAACCGGAGATAGAAGAAAAGGACTTTTTTCGCGCCGAATTAATTAAAGAAATATAATATTATAAACAGAGACGCCGACTTAGTTACTTACTTAGATTAATAAAGTTACTTACCAACTCTTACCAATTAATTACACATCACAATTAATTACCTTTTAACTTAAAGTTAATCAATTGAATGTTCAATTGAATTATTATTTTATGAGCGGCCCTTGGTTTTCAATGTCAGATTTGACACTTAAGTGTCAAGTTTGTGTGTTTCTTATTCCAGCTGATCTACAATGTTTAGAATAATCGATCTTATTGTTAAGGCTNGTAAGGCCATAAGAATTACTTTATTCGAATTCGTATTATTTTATTTTAGTAAAGCACATTTTTTTTAAAGCAGTCAGTAAGCAAATGTTACTGCTATCGTAGCCCTCTAGCCATCGTTATTCTTAATTTATTTAGGAACTTGAATTAAATTATATAAGTTAATTCTAAAAAAAACAATTTCCAACACATACTTTTTTAATGTAATAGATAGGTTAATAATATGTCATTCCGATTTAATTTTGTTGGTGACGCAGACGTCGACGATGAAAAAGGTAAAAAATATCATTTTTATAAAAACTAATTACCTACTTACCTACTCATACAAAAAAAAACGCTGAATGAAACAAATGCGAGTGCATCAGTGCAGTGGCAGTGGTTTTAAAAATGTCCCGGCTCGCATCTGTTTTATTGTCAACAAACCTAACTCTTAAAATTATTAAATGTAATTGTCATTTAAGAAGTTTCTTACAGAGTGTGAATTGTAAGCATATAGATTTTATTGATAAACCGACTCTAAATTACCTACCTATCCAAGTAAGAAGGTGAAATTATTTATTAATAATATGATTTAAATTACCTACTTAAATGTGAATAATTTAGGTACTTTCATAATAACACTTAGTCTTATTTTTATAGCAAATTCGCACTTATATACAACTGTTTAAGATATCACTTGGTTTAGCTTGATGACGTAATAATGTTACTTATTTTTTACATTAGTTGAAAAAAAAGAAGATAATATTAAATGGCAGGAGTGTGAAGAAGTTATGCCATCTAAACAACTCAAGGATTTTGATGAAATGGTGAAACATGCTAACATGTTTACTTGTGGAGACATAGAGATCGGTCATGTAAATGTAAATGAAGCTATAGCTAACATGAGTTTGGAAAACGCTTCAAAACTAGCAGAAGAAGAAAATAGCGATCTGGTAACTGGTATATACGAAGGTATGATACTTAATAGTGTTGGCTTTAGTGATTTTATCGTGTGTTTTACATGTTATAGTAATTAGTACATACCTACATAATAAGTACATTACATTTTAGGTGGCCTTAAAATTTGGGAGTGTACAAAAGACATGCTTGAGTATTTAGCAGACAATGAAAGTAAAATTATATTGAGAGACAAGAAGGTTTTGGACCTGGGATGTGGGGCTGGTATATTGGGTATATACTCCTTTCTAAAAGGATCAAAAGTAACATTCCAAGATTATGTAAGTATCATAATGATAGATAAATAAATAAAATTTTATTGTTACTAATATTATTAATGTTATTAAAATGGTCTTAACTATTACAGAATAGAGAAGTCTTGGAATATGTCACAATACCTAATGTTATTTTGAATATCGAAGACGAAGATGCATGGGAACAAGAATTGAAGAAATGTAACTTCTTTTCGGGCGATTGGAGTTCTTTTAATAAGAAACTTGGTGATGATGACAAGTTTGACATTATTCTTACTTCAGAGACGATTTATAATGAAGATAACTATGAAAAACTAATAAATCTATTCATAAAGAGACTTAAGGAGGATGGTGTTGTTTATGTAGCTGCAAAGACATGTTATTTTGGTGTAGGAGGTGGCATAAGGCAATTTGAAAGTTCAATCAATAGTAATAAATCTCTTGATTGTGAAGTCTGTTGGAAAAACACTCATGGCATTCAGAGAGAAATATTAAAAATAACGCGAAAATTATAATAAACCATTTATTAACTAAAATAATTGTGTACTTATTTGAATGGAAGACATTTACCCGTGTTTAAATCGATCTTAATATAATATGTGATTTAAGGAGACAACCTTTCGTAAACCCATCCCTCGTCGCCTTGATGCAGTAGTTTTCCATCTACATTTTCTCCGTCCCGAAGCTTTCTGAATTTTATTCTGTCATGCAAGCGATCTCGCTGACCTTGCCAAAACTCCACAGCTCGTGGTATTATTATGTATCCGCCCCTAGAAAATAAAGTTGGAAATATATAAAAATTATACAACATTTATAATAACTATAAAAAATATCAAAACAAAATTATACTGTTATTTCATTAAATTAAATATGTCACCAAAATTCAGGTTTCGGAACTTCTTTTCCAGGTATCATGTATTCTGCTTCCAACACAGCTTCACGTTCACATAGAATATCTCTGGATTCTATAGGTGTACTTTGGTAGCTTGCACATGCTGCTATTTGACTGGGTACAGGTCTTGAATGGAAGTATTTTGTAGATTCCTCTTCAGGAAGCTTTTCAATATGGCCCTCGATTCTTACAGATCTATTCAGGATTTCCCAATAAAATGTAGCCGCAACATTTGGATTATCACTCTGGAAAAACAATTAATTAGTGTATCTACCTTATCTCAAAAATATAAATATCAACTGGTATTAATATAAATTATTTATAATGTCAGTAGATAAAACTAGTATTTACCATTTCTTTGGCTTTTCTACTGCCATGATTGGTAAAAAACTTAAATCCATCTTTGCCATAACCTTTACATAAAACAAAGCGTGCCGAAGGGTATCCATCTCTACAAAAATAGAAATAGAAGTTAATATTTAAGGTAGGTTCAGCTTAAAGTTTAAATAGAGAACAAACATCTTGATCCCACACTAAAAGCTCAATCAAGATATAAAAAATAAAGTCACCCATCCACCACACTCAGGCAAAAATACGAAAATTTTACTTCAGGACCGACGATCTGGTGAAGGTCACGGGAGGTGCCTGGGTGCGGGTTGCGCAGGACCGGTCTTTGTGGAAGTCTATAAGGGAGGCTTTTGTCTAGCAGTGAACGTCATTCGAACGAACGAACCTAAACGTTACCAATGAAGGACTATTAATTAATTACTTACCAGTAAGTTAATTAATTGAGGAAAACGTGATGCTAAATTAGTTGTGAGGATTGTACTGAGTTCAGATTAGACAACTATTGTAAGACTGTGAGTTGACTAAATTATGTAATGAGAACAATGTAATACCTACTATTAACTGCTGATAAGAGACTGTAAACCGAACCATTATAATCTTATCTAATATTTTCATGTGTTTGTTATAANGGTGTGTGTAGTTATTTACTTATTTTATTTGCTATTCAAGTATAACTTAAAACATTTTCCTGGATCCTTGACATACCTTGTAGCTGTTGCCAGGCACATAGCATTAGGTTCAAGAATCTCTTTACGACCACAAGCTTCTTCAAACCAGGCTTTAAACTGCCCGAATGGTTCTTTGGCAACTAAATGTTTTTCCAAAAAGGTTTCATTTTTATCCTTATACCTAATTCTCATACCTAAAACAAAGGTTAAAACACATAACGTTAAACTTATTGCGTAACTTTAAAAACTAAGACATAACATGTACAATTAAAGTATATTTATTTTATTTTATTTATATTTTATGGCTGAAATTACTATCAAGAAAATAATATTCCTTATAACCTTTCATATTAAATGTAATTTATTTAACTCCTATAAAGGAAATTTAGTTAAGTGCTCAAGTATTAAAATACCAATGAAATATTTTTGAATTACATACCTCCAATGTCGATACTCATTTTGTGATATAAGTTGAAGTTGGAACTCCTCAGATTCGTAAATAAAAATATGAAACGGTTTAATCCCATATGTTAACACTTGTAAAAATATAATTAAAATACTCTTACTGGAAAAATAATTGAAGAACTATCTACAAATTCACGTTCTATGCATATCAAAACACTGACGAAATTGATCAATGAATGTGAGATGTTTTCTTCAGTGATAGGGATGTACGCACGAGTTCAATTGAACATTCAATTATCCCACTTATTTGAGTTTTTATTTTTAAGTCTCTTTATTCACAATAACCTCAGTTTTAAATAAAATATCAACAGTATTTTTATCACACTAATAAAATTATTATAAACAATTTTATAGATTTTGAGGATTCTTCACTTTTCAACAAGTATTGCCACCGAAATAAATAAATTACAATAGTGACATGACACTTTTATTTTTGACTGCTGAAATCGTGAAATCGATCGATCGAATAAAATTCACTGATGGTGGTTGTTGGTTGTGGTTGTTGTTGTGACAAGTGTGAGTTTGTGACGTGACGTGACGTGTGTGACAACGAAACTGAACGAAACGAACGAGTGTGGAAAGCCCACAACGTCAAAAGTTTATTGAAATAATTTGTAAATCTTTAACATAACCATGGATCCAGAAGTATTAAAAGAGAGGATGCATACTGCCGATGTAATGAAAAATATAGACTTCTTAACCTTTGTTGGTTTATTCCTTGTTGCTTTAACCGCGTGTAAGTACAATAATTCACTTTAAGATTAAAAACATTTTTGGACAACATTACATTATTTTTAAGTAACCATTCCAGTCATGTAGACTGTAGCTAGCTATGTAGACAGTAGTCCTGTAATAGAATATAGTCGTACTTATTTCAATATTGGTCTGGTTTTCATGTGTTAATTTTTCAACTTGTTCTAGTTTGCTGGTGGCTCTATAATAAACGATATCCTCGAAGATGCATTCTACTGACGGGTCTCTCAGATTCCGGGAAAACATTGATTTATGTTAGACTTGCTTATACACAGTATAGGCAAACATTCACATCAATGTGCGAAAACACAGAAGAGTATTTGACACCGGCCCTCCCTGTAAGCTTGATTTTAATTAAGTCAAAGTCAAAGTCAAAATTTCTTTATTTGTTTAGACTAATAAATAGTTCTTACAAATCGTCATTTTGCTCTTAAGGAGCCTCTACATGTCTCATAATCTTTTTACCCTACCAGCGCTTCGAGACCAACATTTGGCAAGTGCTGAGAAGAAGCGCCGCAACAAACTCAGTCACCACTGTCTGTCGGTTAATATAAATAAATAGAAATAGCAGTAGTAGGTACATTCGATTCAGGAGCAGTTCACTGAATTTACCATGCATTCTTGTATAGTGTATCTTATAAGAATGGGTATACAAAATTGCGTGGCATATTAAACAAGGTAGTGACGTGCTAATATCTAGACTTACAGATTACACACTCAAATACCAGTAGAAATGACTCGCATACATAAGTTGGAATAACTTGGATTGACCAGTCCCCGAAAGCAGCGCCTGTTCACAGACATGACGAGTGAACCAGCCATTAGAATTTTCAATGTCTTACATTTTTTATTAGTACCTAAATTGATTATGTTAATTTATATTTTACAGCATTCAATGCTTCTTGTGGACTTGCCTGGACAAGAGAGGCTGAGGAATAAATTCTTCGATCAATACAAAAACAAAGCAAAGGGCATCGTCTTCGTAGTTGACTCGGTTACTATACAGAAAGAAATTAGGGATGCTGCTGAGTATGTATTTAAATTATTTTAATATATTATCTTTTTAATACTTCTGTACAATTTAGGATCAACAATTGGACTAAAATTTATATTTAATAAAAGTGTTAAATTAACTGTCCAAAACTGTTAAATCAAAAATATGAAATGCAGTTTTAAGTTACTAATACACTCAACATCAAATAAACCGCACCTTCCGCGACGCAAACTTTAACGATTTTCTCCTGACACAATCATGGTGCCCCAACAATATTGGTGTTATTTGAAAGCCCAATAAATATCCTTAAAGAAAAACACATTTAATTTCTTAATAAATGAATAACATATACCATAAATGTGACTTGAAAAAATACCTCACTTTGGGCCCACCTATGGGATCAATTAGACCAATTTTTATTAATATAAAACCAAATAATGATTTCACTTGTCCTCTTTAACAGATGGATAGCAATTAACAGTCTTATAGCCATAAAAGTTGGCTCTAGCGTAACTACCTATTTTTTGAAGAAGTGACTCTGGATCCTTCTAAAGACACATTTTTGGGGTAAAAACCTTTCCTTTAATGAAATGAAGGTTAGAACTAGGCTTTTAAATGGTACCAATATTGGTGGGAAGTGGGGATGCATACGTTTGAAAATGCTTGTCGCGGGAGGTGCGATTTATTTGACGTCGAGTGTATTTCAAACTAAATATGAAACTTACATTGGCCCATTCTTATTCTACTTATTTCTAAAAATTCTAATTTGCGTTTCAAGTGTTAAATCAATCTTTTTCCAGGTATTTGTACACAATCCTTGCTGACCCAATCGTGCAACTTTACAATCCGCCGCTATTGATCCTCTGCAACAAACAGGACCAGCCTCTTGCTAAAGGCAGCCAGGTCATCAAGGGCTTATTGGAAAAGGAAATGTATGTCATTTACTTATTTAATTTTTTAGTGTCAAGAGTTGCATCTCAAACTAATTTGAAAGTTTATCCAATTCTAAGTAGCTCAGTTGGAATGTTGGTTCAATTCCCGCCATAGGCAGTTCGATTTTTTCAAGTTATTTATTATGTCATTTTTCCAAATATTTTTCTAGTAGCTATTTTAACCATGATTAAACTAGGCGGTGTAAATAATATGTTACTTTACATAAAACTAAACAGCTTGCTTGTTTTGTTACAGAAACCTGGTGCGTGTAACCAAGTCAAACCAACTGAAATCAGTAGACCCAGCAGAGACGAACACCGCTGTATTTTTGGGCAAACAAGGCAAAGATTTTCAGTTCTCTCATCTGAACTGCAAGGTTGATGTAGCTGAATGTTCGGCGAACACTGGTAATGAACGCGACTATGCTGACTTAAAAATGCTGAAAGAATGGATCGACTGTCTCTAAATGCAATGCATTTTCGTAACCAAGCCATGTTATTGAAATTATAACCAACTTATTTAGATGATCTCAAACATCGTAATAAAACTAACATGGCCTAGTCGAGTGTTATTGGCGATACCTTATTGACTATTAGGCGATTATCACACTGCGCCGCGGTACGCGGGACGACAGATTTAATCATTGTATGCAAGTACCTCAGTTTGTATAGAAAACACGCGCGGCACAACACACTGACAACGCGTCCGCGCGCGGGATTTTTTATATGAAATCACGCGGACCGCGGCGGAGCGCGACGCAGTGTGATAACCGCCTCAAATTACAAAAATAGTTAAAAAACTATTTTTGTAATTTGAGGCGGTTATTATTTATAAAAATAAAAGAACTATTTTACATTAATAGTTCTTTGTAAAAGAACTATTTTGGTTAAGTGAAAGACCAATGTAATCCAGTATCATATTTGTAGTCTTTTAAAAGACTGTTTTTAAACATTTTTAATCCCTCTCTGAAGTTCTCTGTATTATACTTGGTGGGGCAAACACCACTGACTATTTACTCAAACGACATTTAGTTGTTTCCCATCTCTAGTACCTACTAAAGTCAGATAATTAATATTATGTAGTCATAAAATTGCATTTATCCAAATGGAAAGTGCCAACCATGTAATCCAGTATGATATTGTAGTGTCTTTTTAACCATTTTACATACTTTTCTGAATTATACTATAATAGGGAGGTAGGAACTCTGTGTTGTTGTAGGTACATCACCATAACAAAAAAAAAACAATTGAAATATTTTAGGCGCTCTTGTCGCTAAAAGCGATCTCGAGATAACCGTATCTATTACTACCAGCTACAACTTGGTAAAATGCCAACCTTTTTATCCAATAAGATATTGTAGTGTCTTTTTAAGTATTATAAATACTTTTCTGCATTATAATAGTCGGATGTTAATGGTTTGTGATTAATTAATAAGTGATGAAAGGTGACTGTTTATGAATGTCTTACCGAATTTACTTATTATATTTTGCTCATTAAGTTTTTCAATGAATAAAGCTTTTTCTACAAAAAATAAAGATAATTTTATTATGCTAAGTTTTAAAACGTCCTCATAAAGCTAGGACCTGCATGTAAGGCCTTGTCCAGGAGGGTGAATTCGCCGCGAATGTCTTCGCGCGAACACGAGCGTATGTATGATGAGATTTACGTGTACGTCTTGTGGACGCAATGTATTGGTATCTCGCCAACGCGCGTATGATCCTACGTGCGTAGGATTCGCGGCGAATTCGCCCTCCAGGACTTAGGACAAGGCCTAGGTTTCCTAAGATTAACATACACTGGTCATCATAAAAATCGACCCACCCGCGACAAGCACTTTCAAACGTATGCATCCCCACTTCCCACCAATATAACTATACTATATTACCATTTAAAAGCCTAGTTCTAAAGTTCATTTCATTAAAGGAAAGGTTTTTACCCCAAAAATGTGTCTGTAGAAGAATCCAGAGTCACTTATTCAAAAAATAGGTAGTTACGCTTGAGCCAACTTTTATGGCTATAAAACTTTTAAGTTGGGATTAATCGCTATCCATCTGTTAAAGAGGACACGTGAGATCATTATTTGGTTTTATAACCATAAAAATTGGTCAAATTGATCCCAGAGGTGAGCCCAGAGTGAGGTCTTTTTTCAAGTCACATTTATTGTAGGTATAATAATATTATGTTAATCGTTTATTAGGAAACTAGCTTTCCGCCCGCGGCTTCGCCCGCGTGGAATTTTGTCTGTCACAGAAAAACTTTATCGCGCGCGTCCCTGTTTCAAAAACCGGGATAAAAACCCGGAAAAAGTTCTTTCCCGGGACTCAAACTATCTCTATGCCAAATTTCATCAAAATCGGTTGCGAGGTTTAAGCGGGAAAGCGTAACAGACAGACAGACAGACAGACAGACAGACAGACAGACAGAGTTACTTTCGCATTTATAATATTAGTTGGGATTAAATGTGTTTTTCTTTAAGGATATTTATTGGGCTTTCAAATAACACCAATATTGTTGGGGCACCATGATTGTGTCAGTAGAATCGAGTTTTCCTGTAAAACGTAGGTGGGCCGATTTTTGTGATGACCAGTGTAGTTTTGGACATAATAAATGTCAACTGGCCAACAAAAAACGCACGCACGCGCACAAAAAAGCGCACTCTCGCGGATGTTTCGGAGTATTAAATGTCCAAAGATGAGGTTTGCTTTACCCACTTGCTTTAAAAATCTAAATTATCAATATGTAGTGCGTTTCCCCATCGAGAGATGGCGCTAGGCTTTCGGAAAACGAGAGCTTTTATAGCTTTGGGAGCTGACGATTTAAGTCCTGCAGGTTGCCATAAAATTTTGAATTTCCGTAAGGTCAGTTTGTTAATTAAAAAATACAGTAACAATTTTAGGATCAATGGTTACTTACAAGTTTATTTTAAGTAAAATTCCACCTAGCAAACTTGTACAGTATAAATTAACTACACCTAATCATCGTACCTACAAATGAGTTTTTTTAGCACAAACATAATTATATTTTTATCGATAAATGCTTTCGGACATTCGTCATTCGCACATGCGTAGTAAACCCAACCTTAAACTTTATTTTAAACTATGCATCTGTTTTAATAATGATAAAANTAATCAAATTTCCAGGTGCTCTTCAATGAACACAAGCAGTAAGCACCCTCTATAAAAAGTAGAAGTAAATGCACCTACTTTTAACTATTAAATTACCCTTGCATGACTCATCGATACGTCAAGATCATTGCCAATATTGATTTATTTATTAACTTAATTGTTCCTTTTGAATATTCATAAAAATCGATTCAATAGATAGACCCTTAGAAAGGGGTTTCGAATTGTGTCCTTTCATTATGTATGTAAAAGAAGGGTTAAAAATATAAAAAAAATACAAGTGCACAAATATGCATATTCATGATTTGTTAATTTAACACAATACATAATGTGAGGTTATTTTTTTTACGATAACTACTTCCATACGTTTTCTGGCACTGCAAATAGGCACAATAGGTAGAGCTTTTCTAACTAAACTTATTACCTACCTACCTAATTATGTAAGCTCAAGATACTCTTAAGAATAAACCCTAGTGGTGTTTATAGTATAGGCTATCGATATAATATAATGTACTGTGTTTTTTTTTCAATGATAAGTAAATAAAAAAAAAATTAAGCTAGACAAATAACGAAATTAATTTTAACAGTTCCTGTCACTATTCTAACGATTTTTCTAACTTCTTCATGTTGTCGGATGCAAAAATCTCAATCTCTTCATATGAGTTAGTAAGCATGTCGTAAAATTCCCACGGCATGCAAAAGGATTGCGCGGGCGCATCCCACTGTCAGCGGGCAGGCTTGAATGGGTTAACCCATCACCTGCACAATACGAGGCTCATAGATGACAATGTAGAGACTTGGAGATGTCCGCATTGTATTTTACATCATTCACATTGACATTGCAGGGTTGATTGTCCTTCAGTTACTGTTTCGTACTTAACTAAAAAAAATGCTCCCATGTGAACAGCGTAAGAGTTACTTAGCTATTGGAATAGAAAGAACGTAAAGTTAGGGAAGGTTGTGAATGAAATAAAAAAGAGCTCCCTACATCATTCCATAATAAACAATTTCGAACTAATTATAAGTACTGATAACACAAATATACCTACTTAAATTTTTCGTCATAAAATATTATTACGAATCGAAAAAGTTTCTTTTTAGCACGAGTCGGCAGCTTGCGTGGCGAATTGCTAATTATTTTAATCAAGGATTAATCGAATTCCTGCTTGAGATAAAGAAGATTGCCCGCCCGTCGTCGCATGTCACTCGTATTACAAATAGGAGCATTTACACCGGCCGATCGAAAGCTACCTTAAAATAGGCCCTACATCCCAAGTCTCCACAGGATTGAAATCTCTGGCTTCGCGGGTTATTGATAATACGAAAATGCCTAAAACAGACATGTCAACGTCTCAATGTGCTCTACATTTGTACATTGTACAAATAAATAGGTTGAAAAAGTTACAGAATAATTTAATTTTTATAACAATTTTATTTTATACCTTTTGTAAAAGACAAACGGTGTTAAAACCTAGTTTTATGGCTACGTTTCTCTACATTAGTCATTCTCACGTGGTCTTTAAGTGTAAATCCACCTTATGCTGCTAAAATACGATCATCTTGCGGCATCGCGGCTTGCAAACACCGCGGTGTGTGGTCCGACTTAAAATCATTTCAATATTAAGTATCGACAAATATCAACTCATTACGCAAATTATGCAGAATGCTTCTCATCGAATATCTTAGAACAGATTTCGTCAGAAATTATGCTGCATATCGGACGAATTAAAAGCAAATTAAGATAAGCAAACTTAAAGCTCGGCTTTAACTATTTTAATTTATTAACTAAGTTTGCAATTAACTAGAAATTAATGTTAATGGGTTATCCAATGTTTGAGTGCCTATTTCATTTATAAGTGTAAATACCTACGTAAGTTAAGTTCCTTCGTACCTTAAGTTAAGTTAAGTTCTTTCTTAGATTTAAACCATCAATCACCATCACCACTGGTGACCAAAATTAAGGCGGCAATTCCAATTTACAAATTGCATACNTAAAATTGATTTAGAACAAGTTAAATTAACCATTAATGGTAAAGATATTAAAATATTTGCAGTGGAACAAAAAGTGATGGTGAGAGACATGAGAAAATCATTGGTCTTTGCCAATCATGTACTTTGGGCTTTGTGGCAGGTTGTGGCGAGTTTAAACGCTTTGTTTAAAATGTCAATTAAAACTTTTATCTGATTCCGATATTCCGATATTTGGTCGCTCAATATCGGAATTGAAATATCGGATCTCGCAGTCCGAGATTCCGATATTACGAGATTCCGAGATTCCGATATTCATGCCCTAGTACCATTGTAATAACTCTTTGCGTAAACTGTAACTTGTAGAGTACTTATGTCACCTTATATTTGTCTGTATACTAAACACGATATTGCTCGTAACTGCTTAATGAGGGCTATCGTTTTTAGACTTAACAGTTGGCACCCCTGGCGATTGACAGGACCTTACTCTACAGTGGCGCCATC